GGAAAATTCTGACGGCGCTCATGATAATAATTAACAAAATGCACTTAGGTACTCGATGAAACATGACGAGATTCAAATTCGAATCCTTGACATGTTCAAAAAGGCGCAATTCTGTTCATCATGATGATTAACCACAGAAGAAGAATAATTTCTTCTCTCTTATTCCCTGCCAATTTTTTGTTACAAAATTGCAATCAAGTCGAATACTTTGCATAATTCGTTACGATAAAAAATCTCACATGTATATAATTGATCGTTATAAAAAAGGATTCGGGATTAATTTCGCATTGTGGCGGACAAAATTGAGGGCGGACTTACCGATTCGAGGGTAATCAACTGATCCAACAGTTGTTCTAAAAGAGACACGCGTGAAGATTTTTAAGACTCGATCCTTGTAAGAGCAATAACGCGTTTAATGATATTTATACCTGCGCGAAAAATAATCCTTTTTCTTTAGAGTTCCGCAGATAAAATTGGGAACACTCATCAATTAGCTGCCTTATCATTAGATACTAGTTAGGCTAGTGAGGCTAGCATTAAAGATTTCAGAAAATATGAATTAAGAAAAAAGCTCATTATACCATTTCTGACACAAATATATAAATAAAATTTCTAATGAAATCTATAATCACTCGCGAACAACATGAATTTAACAAATTCATAAATTTGAAAGGATATTCCTTACAACATTTATTGCAATTAGCATTATTGTATTTTAATTTTACGAAAATCTTTATTGATGATTTATTATGATCAATGTCAAAATACAATAATTAATTAACGATCGGTGATCTTAAATATTTTTATCTTTATCGATAAAACACGTTTTCGAAACATCGACCGTTCAAACGGAATTTTGTTTTCGGAATACATTCAATGTAAAATGGGAAAGAGATATTTGATTCCTATCCTATTATTAATGCCTCTTACTGTATGCGAAATATGAATTTTTAAAAAGTGAAACAAAGATAAGCGAAGAAAAGGCAATAGAATAATGAATTTTTCATAGAATTTTGTATAAAATGATAGATGAGGAAGAAGAGAGAAATTTTATCTACGGAACTCTTCGATGCGTTTAAGGTAGTTCTTTAGTAAATCGAATTACTATAGAAATGTCTAACTTCTTTATATAATAAAGTCGAAATGCCGAACTTGATATACATGTGCAAAATTCTTAGGTAGGTTAACGATGAAATGAGAGAAAAAAATGTTGAAAATGTAACTTTTAACGTATAATTTAGTGCCACGTAAGGATCGGAAACGCTTCTTTGAGTGCACACAAATATTACCACTTCTCTAAAGTTCAAAAAATTACGATATAAAAACCTCGCTTACAATTACAATGTAATTCAACAATACAACGTTGCCAAATTATATAAAACAACCTAAGTAGCATTGCTGCAATGAATATATTCGAAATCGTTGAAGACAAATCTATGGCAAAGTTGTCGACATTATAAGCAATCATAGATTTGTCCGATTTTGTTGAAACGAGACTTTGCTATCTGGAAAATTTTACAAGAAATCAATTTTTTATTTCATCACTTTTGCATACTATTGTGTATTTTAAACTATTTCATTAAAATATACACGTAGTTTTAACATTTTATCCAAATTATGCAGATATTTGTGATTTTGAGTGAGAGGGGACTGATAAAGTGCCAAATTTAATAAAATGTCAAATTTTCGGTACTTTACTAAAGAACCACTTTAAAATAAACGCCTATCTATTGTACAGAGTGCCAAAAACTGCGTACTCTCTCTCGATTATAGACGACATATCAGTTAATTTCTAAATTAGAAGCAATTAAAAATAAAGCGTAAAATTATTAATTCTTCAATGCCACTCTCGATATGGCATATCCAGCTTTTTTCAAAATGATTTTTTTCGAAACTTCTGTTTACTTTATATTACTCATAACTTTTTTATTAATAAAGATATATACATTTGTTTGATATTGTTGTATCTTTTTAATTGAAAAAAAGTTGTTAATTATGTTCAACAAAATTTCTTTAATGTATTCATTTTTATAAAAGTTATAAACAATCAAAGTTGAGATTAGATATGCCATACATATGTTGCATCTGTGAAACGGTATAATGTGACACTGAAGGAAAACTGATCCAAACTGATCAAGAAATTTGTAGATGCGAATGAGCATGCGGTATATTTGGCACACTCCCTCTGTATACAGTGATGTTCAACGCGTTGAATATCCTTCGCAGTGCAAAGAAAGATTGATCAAAGCTGCCAAGTTAGCTTCCTCAGAAACGGTGATGTATCTGTTCGTATCGAGATCTAACGGACGAATGACGTCCCGCGGAACTTTACAACTGCGTTCGGGGAGACGTTATTAGCGTTATTTGTGTCATTCTATCCTCATTATCCATTAGAACGTGAAGTAAGAATAGTATGACACAAATAGCACTGATAACGCGCTCCCTAAACGCAGCCTACATGCCTCGTCGCGCACATTCTTCCCACCTATATAGTCATATTATTCATCATCATCCTTCCCTTTCTCTCTTGTTCACATTCACGCTTTCTCTCGCACATTCTTTCTTTCCCTTTCTCGCTCTACGCGTACGATGCATTTTTTAAATCACGATAATCTTGATGATTATTAACCACGATAGTAAAAGCATATAAGCTATACAGCTACCATTCTGTATCTACAATATAGTTTTGTATGTATAATATATATATATATATATTTCTTTTTCTTTCTCTTTCTCTTTCCATTTCTTTCCTAACTCTGGTCTCTCTCGTGACATCATTAAAATATCATTGTCTTTCGAAAAGCGGTTCAATGTTCGCGCACTGACGTTCCTTGTCTCATCCTCCACGTGGATCCCTCTTTTCCGTGCTTGAAAGCCAGAGATAGCCTGGCGAGAGTCCAATCTTCCACGGCAAGGGTTAACTTCATGTTCCAGAGCATTTTAAGAGAGATTCCAATCTCCTCAACAAGAATCAATAGCCTCTTACCTCATTTTCTTCATATTCCGATTAAATTTGCTCTTGTTACCATCAAAATATTCTTCCTTGTTTCCCTTTTCTTCATGATTGAAAGATACAAGAAGCTTCTTTGACATCTTGTTTGACTTGCTGCTCGTTTCATTTTTTTTTAGATTTTTAATAATCTGATTTCTTCATATATTCTCATCGTTTCCAATATTTCGTTCCACTTTCTTCACTTTCTTTAAAGATGATACCTTTTTCTCCCTCTGAGAAATTATTTTCTGGACCTGTTCTCTAAGTCTCGAGCGTGTTTGGAATACCGGCGCTTTCCTGTTCCGGCATCCTCTTCGAGTCGCTTCTTCATCGATGCGTCCTCGATACCTCGAGTTGCCCAGTCGTGATTTCTTCAATAGCCACGAAGCTGAAGTTACGCTCCCGATAATGGAGGAGGATCGTCTCTCGTGCGCGTCCCCGCTGGCTCTGTCGCGCGATCATTACTGTAGCACGCAGCACTTGCACTTAGGCTTCTTCTTCAGGGTGACGTGCTCGACCTGTGACGCGTCGCCCGGGCCCTGCGCCGTCATCCTCGCAACCTCCACCGTTGCGGTCCGAGACGCGCCAACCTGAACCAGACATCATTACGAATGGCTGATTAACTTATCTTCGTTTTTGTCTTGATTCTTGTATTTAATAATGTTCAAATTTAATTCGGCAGACCTTCAAACTTTAAATATGAACAATTAATGAAATTGCACTAAAAAAATGAATCGAAAATAAATGAAAAGCCTCTAAGAGCCGCAAGATATTATTACGAATTTTATGATTTATTTTATATAATATTACAACAAATGGTTTACGTACTGACCCACGATTAGAAAAATTAATTAATTAGGAAAATTAAAAATTAATTAAATAATGAAAATTAATCGATGGATATAAATGGAAAAATCAGGATTTTTACCTGGAATTATCCCTGAATTAACTAGCCAGATTTTGCTAGACATCATGTTATTGTAGCCAATTAGAATCTATAAACTTAACGTGCCTAGAAAACAATGGACGAAGAAAAGCGGCTAATAAGTCTGCTCGCCTTTACATTTTATATTTTATATGTAAAATTTCATGTTTAATGGAATCTTGTAAATATATATTGCATATAAAATTAATATAATCTGTAATTTTCCATGTTGCAATATTAAAACACCCCAGCATAATTATGTAATTACAAATATTTTTCCAATGTAGATCGAAACGTAAACCATTTGTTGTATTATTATATAAAATAAATCATAATTCGCAACAATCTCTTGCATCGGCTCTTAGATATTTTTTTATTGTATTTATTTTTTATTTAAATACGAACACTGTATTATCAAATTAACAATTAGCGTTAGAAGCAAAAATTGAACGTCATTGTAGCGAGCAGTGATGCATTTTTCGTCAACACCTCACCTTTTCGTTAACAGGTTGGTTGCCGGCAGTTTTCGAAGGAGTACTACCTCGTGCACTGCCATTCTCCTGACCGGGCCTCGGTGACGAGTTAGCGTGACAATTCGCGGATTTAAGAAGCGGGCTGGTACTCGAGTCGCCTGATTTGCCATCGCATCCCGGTAACGGCGGCGCGTTCTGACCCGGAGTCGGCGTGATCGGTTTCCCACCCTTTATTAGTTCGACGATCTCATCGGCTTCCCGGGAGAGATCGCCATCCGGTCTGAACGGATTGTCCCAGCCGCTATCCGTACTAAAATCAGAAAGCATTATCGCATTTAATCTTAATTTCTTCTCGTTTAAATAATTCGCGATTAATCGTGATAAGACGTTGAAATTTTTTGGTCAGATAACGATTATTACTTTCATTGCAATTCAATGCAAATCATTACTTTTCAATTGTACATCGCATGTCTTCCTAAAACTGAACTTATCAAATACTTTTGTTATGTGCCTCTTTTATTCTCTGTGTGCATTTGAATTTCATGTATTAAAGAGTTTACTTCTATAAATATGAGATAAATAAGTAATTAAAAATTTTATATCATTTCATAAAAATTTCATTCTTAAATTTAAATAAGAAATTTAGTATTTTAAATATATATATAACGTTTCTTATATGTCACTTATGAATCATCCTATATTTGATAATATCGCTATAATGGTACGTGCTTCTGGATGATATCTTAATGATGGATCTCGCTGCATAGATTGCGTTTTACATGAAAAATGTTTTCTAGCACGAGATAATTTCTTGATACAATGTAAAAGATCATGATCGTTAATACGCACTAGGAACAAAACTTTTGATGTATATAAGAGACATTGACTGATTATTATTTAAAAAAAATGTAAAATTGAACAGATCATATATTGATGCAAATTTGTCACATTAATAATTAACACTGTTAAACAAACGGTTTATGCAATTCCTTTCAATCGCAACTGAACATTTATTTTACTCGTCCAAGCGTCATTTTGTGCACTCAGGCATTTTCCTTCTTAATATAGTCAGCTTAATGAAAACTTTTGAAGCAACAGAGCGTAAGACTAGGATTATCGATATTGACCTATTTATGTTAATAATCAGGAAAATAAACAACTCGACTTAAAGAAGAAACTTAGAAATCCAATTAAAATTTCTAAATATAGTTATTTAAAAACTTACAATAATTTTATAAATCAAGTTCACATTTCTTAAAAGGGGACAGGAGATTCGTATGGTTACGTTAAAGATGAAAGCGACTATATTTCAGTAAAAGAAATAATGGGCATAGTTTCACTTCTTTAGAATTCATAAAATCATGATAAAAATCGAAATTTTCCAGCCCGTTTTCAATGACACACACAGAAAATTTCTATATTTTCAAAAAATTTTGTATTACAAGTTAATTTTCTATATTTCAAATATATAATAATAAATAATACCAAAATGGAGAATTATATCCATTTATCTTTCTTTCCTTGAAATAAATTTTTGCAAATTTCGATTTCAATTTAATCCTAGAAATCTCTTGTCTCTTTTTAAGACAAAAGTTGAATTGATTTAGTAAGCACCACAAATTTGTTATTTCATGTAGAAATTTATATCATAACATTTCCGTATCTACATTTACTTCATTACTTATCATGAGAGTGCGCGCGATTTTTCTTGAAAAGTTTTCTCTGAAATTTTCAGACTTTTATTGGATTTCTCTGAAAATATTACACGTGCATTTCGATTTGGGGTGAGTTCCACTTGACGCTCATAGAATCATTTCATCTTTGTTATTTCAAGTATTAAACAAATAAATTTAAGACTTGCGAATGCTAAATGGAACGTAATGTCGTCAGAGTCAAGAATTATTTATATTGGCTGTAATCTGTAAAAATTGATCACAATCGTAATCGATTATTTCCCTCTCATTCGACTGTGATTGGTCTATTCTTACAGATTACGGCCAATGTAAATGATTCTTTATGTGAAAGGAAAGGGTTCGAAGAATAAAATAATAGTTCGTAGTTGTTTAATAGCGATGGCATCAGTAAATTTTATTCTAAGTTAAAAAGTCTCTATAATAAGAGTATAGATACCATATGTTTAACTTTTGATTGATAAATAAATGCACAACAAATAAGAATTAAAGTCTATAACGGTCGAAGCTGGATCTTAGATACTTAAATATAATTCCCATATGAATTTATATACATATGTAGTCATTGCGCGCCAAATTGATTTTCTGGACTTAAAAACGCAACTAAACTACAACAGTGATATGATATCACAAATTAAATTGATAAGCAAGTTAATAATTTGATGCTCAATCAGACATCCTATTATTAGAGAGATGTTAATGTGCTGAAAATCTGTAAATAAATTCAATGTGGAAAATATTGCTTCAACCGGGGATTTAACTCGAATCTCTTGCATTCCATACGAGCGTTCTAAGCCTTTAGACTACTAGAGATCTTAGTAATATTCTTCGTAGTAATTAATATATGTGTGAAAACAAATGTCTTCATTTCAGGCGATCTGATATAATCAATAAGAATCTTATTGGACTGTATGTACATGTGAATACATAATCAATAGGAAATAAAGTCTATAATGGTCGAAGTTGCATCTTTTAATAATGGTAAACACATTATACTAAGTAAATGCAATTTAGTGCATATGATGTACTTTTAGAATATAACTTTAATTTTTAATATACTTTGCTTTTTTCGGGAAGCTGCGGACGATGCTCTTGTGCCACCGAGTATTTTTTTCAGACAATTATTTTACATCTGATATCGAAAATGTCATGTAAAAGTATCGCCAGTCAAGAAAAGTAGCCACATTAATGATACATATCGATTATTCGTATCGCTCTCATGATTTATATTCAACAGATTTATCATTAATCTTATACAAAAAAAAATTTTTTATTGTTAATATCCTCAATATTAAACGCGTCGCCTTATACATGTATTCGACGACACCCGATCAGTTGCGGGCGCAACGAATAAATTGTGCTCAATTGCGATCACGCCGTGTCCGTTGCGCAATGACCGTGACATTAACTTCGTCATTGTACTGCGCTTAATTGCGCCGTAATGCTCTGTTACCTATTCACAGTAACGTACGCACGCTGACTTCTGGTCATCTAGCTTAGATCGTTTTTTAAGAGCTTTTAGTTACTCAATTGTGCATTCACATTTGCGGTCTTAAAAAAGTTTATTTTTCTTTTGTGAAATTTCGCAAACTGTTATTCTAAAAATTGTTCAATATTAGAGAGAATTAATATAAGAGAAAACACATTAATATATATATATACAGGGTGTTTTATTTTAATCACCCCAGGTGAAATTCGAGAAGAAGACGTGGGATTGAAAAAAGTTTCAGACAAAAGTCGTATAACATCGAGGGGAATACAAGATAGTTCATCACATGGGTTTGATCTTGGATGCCAAAGTTAGAACAAGGACATTTTGAATTTTTTAAATGAAAATTCTCGATTTTTCATTGCTTATTCTTGTAGCATACTTCGAGAGAGAAAAATACTCAATGAAAAAAATATTTTATTACAGTGTTTTGAAAAGCTTTCAAAATAAACTACGAAAATATGTAGTAAAAAAAGGAGAGTTCCATTTAGAAAATTCAAAATGATCTTTCTCCGACTTTGAGCAGGTCAAATCAAAATCAAATCAATGGTATCATCTTATGATCTTATGTCCCACTCACATAACTTTTTGTCTGAAACTTTTTCAAATCATCCGTATCATTCTCGAGATATTTTAATAAACCAATTAAAATGTCACACTTGGTGTGTGTGTGTGTGTGTGTGTGTGTGTGTGTGTGTGTGTGTGTGTATAAACAAATATTTAATATATATATATATTAAATATTTGTTTTTATTTTTAGACTAAAATTATAGGGTTGATTTTTGAATCAATAAAAAAGATACCAGATTTAGATGAAAACAAAATCCTTTGTGATTTGGCCAACTTTCAAGCTAAAGAAAGCTCTTTCAACCAACAGTTTCTTCGGCAAACGGTTGATAAAATTTCATCAATAACATAATGAAGTGGTCTATATAAAAGTACAAATCTTTGAAAAAGGATAGTGGTCTATATAAAAGTATAAATCTTTGAAAAAGGATAGCTGTACAATTTTTGAAACTATATATCTGCTACCTCAATTGCGTGCGAAAAGAACTTCAGTATACATGACGCAATATATATGTATTTCTAGAAAAAATACATTGACAAATGGCAAGGTAGTAAAAATTGTTTATATTGCACATAATTTAAAATTGCAAAATTCATTGTTCCGAAGATAGTATCAGTACACTTAAAGAGTTTGAAATTTGTGAGACAATATCGAAGTCTAAAACAAAATTCACAGATGATGTTGATCAGAACGAAATTTTAAATTCTTGTATAATGTGTGAATTTGGAAAGTTCTACGATCAAAAATAATGATCAAAATATTTTTAAAACTAAAGAAAATCTTTTTATAATTGTAAACTTACATTTAAATAAAAAGTAAATATTATTTATATCCAGTTTAATTAAATACTTATTTAAGCATTAAGATATATTATTTAAATAATTATTTTAATCTATAAAATTTTATATCTGAAAAGAAACATAATTTTAAGAAGAAAAAAATAAGGTTTGAAGTTTTTTAAGAGAAACGTATTTCATGAAATAAAAATTTTTTACCAAAATTGTTTTCTTTTCGTATTAGAATTTTCTGCTCAAAATTATCTTAGGAACACGTTCTTAAAAGATAACGCATTAGTTGCAGGTCATTTACATTAAATTACATTTAAATAAATAATTCCTATACATTTAAATACATATATAATTTGATCTCTAACTGCTAATGTGGAAATTTATGACAAATTTGTATGTTCGAAATTGTGTCATTATATATTATTATTAGATACTATTGAGAAATTTGATGGTTTATTTCCTGGATTATCGTTAACGTTCGTTACAATGAAATGACTGTGTAATGTAATCGGTCATTTTGAAATAACGTCTAGACGGATAGGAAATGAGGACTGGCTCGAATTTCCGATGGTACGATCGATTGCAATCGACTTCCGTTTTTCTTTCGTTAATTTCTCTGAGATTATTCGATCAATCTAGATAGCTTCGCTAAAGGCGAAGATTCGAGACACAATTTCTTTTATTTCTTTTTTAAAGAAATACTGGTGGAGCGACAACAATTATCACGAATTACAGTGCAACCAAAAAAACTGACTTAACGAATTGCAAAATTTT